GTGGCCGGTGGCCGGTGGCCGGTGGCGGTGCCGTGGCGGTGGCGGTGCAGTGGCGGTGGAGGTGGCGGGTGGCGGTGAGGGTGAGGGTGAGGGTGATGGTGATGGTGGTGTTGATAGGAAGACGTAACAGGACGAGAAGGAGCTGCCAGGCGGCCGTCTACACCGAAACACATGAGATGACAAAAAGACTGCATGGGAAAGGGGGTGCATGCCTTTCCAGTTTGCTCGGTGTCCAAAGCCTGTGCAAACGTGTAAAGGAGTTCCAAAGCATTAACTCGTGAAAATTCCAGACCTGCCTCCAGAAGCCTGTCGAGGTCCGGGTCGGACATCTGGCAGCAAACCTTCATGATCTTCTTGAGAAAAGCCTCTCGTGCAGTCAAGCCTATGCTGACGTATGCTCACGGGCGACGAAAGCTGTGAGCCCCCAGGATCTGAGCTGTGGTGCACATTGCAGCCAAGGGGCCACCGGGACCATGCCTAAGACGGGAGGTCTGCACAGGGCCAAGTGGACAATCGGAGGCCATCGAGTCGGGAACCCAGCTAAAGTCTTAGCCGGAAGAGCCCTAAACCGCGAGCAAACGATGGTCCCGCGATGCTTCACAGCTCCGGGACGCAAGCTGTGAATTGCCGAGTTGCCATCGCCAGGCGCATGCTGGGAGAAGAGCTGCACCACCTTGCGGATGTGACAAGAATATCAATGCTTGGCACACATCCGATGAACTCCTTTGCCTGCTTTGCCAACCCTTTTCAACTTTCTCTGCTGAAACTCTCTGCAGACCTTGGCTAGGGCGACGTCAGCAGCCGATGCCATCGCTCGCTTGCTTGCCGGTTTATCGGGTCTGCATGAGCGTGTCGGTGCGATGGAGTTTGACCACTGCCCTCAGGTTTCTCGTCAAAGGCTTGGATTTGGCGTTTCGGGTCGGTGCCATGTGAATCTGAGCTACAGCGGCTGCCGCATCAGAGTACCAGTGGATGACTTCAAGCCTGAACGGTACATAAGGTTTCCGGGGCTCAGCAGCAAATCAAGGCTCCAACCCAGCGAAGCTCTGACTTCCTGCGATGGCCTGAGGTTGCTGCATGTAGCCTCTAGACTCTAGACTCTAGCGCAAGTCAGGCGGCTTGTTGCAGAAACCTCATCGAAAGCCTGAGAGCTACTCGCAACCCAATCCACCATACCACCAACGGGCAGAATGTTCAATCCAACTTTATGCTCCCATGCAAGCATACGACTACGAACAACAACAATCATAGCAATGCAGATGGTAGTCACAACAATAATCTCATGGACGTGCAGGTATTGGTCACGGCAGCAACAGCAGCAGCTCCAGTAAAATTCGGAACCTTTACAAAATTCTGGAAGCGAGCTAACAGCAAGCAAGATTATGTATTCTATTCCTCAGGCTCACATGCAGCCCCTCACACTCGGCAGGCGACCGGTGCCAGGACAAGCCACGTCCTGATCAAGGATGGAGCCAACATTGGACAACAAATCTGCCGAGAAAGCTTGGCTGCCAAGCCTGGACATGTGCAACTACATCGCGAGATGAAACGGCTGCTGATGAAATTCCATGTACGCGGCCATAAGACCCTTTGCAATGTGTGTGTGTCAGAGAGAGAGAGAGAGACGGGTGCTCTTAGATACTCGCCAGTACCATGAACAAACATAAGAAAACCGCTCTCAAGTGCAGGTCTCTGCATGATGCTGTGAGAGGCATAAACATGCATGGCACTTGAGCTCATCGCTGCAGGCTACATCACTCGCCAATAAAGCACCGAATGTGGAAGCGGAGGCAACTCAGTGCAGGCATAAGGCATGTGCAGTTGTCTGTTCAGCGAAGTGAATGGATTCCAGACACTGCCGGGAAGCTTCTCACATCGCATGGAGATTCACCTTCACTCCACTGTGTCTGGTGCAAAAGACTTCCCCAGGCCTCCCCAAAAGCAAGCACCATTGCCATGCGGCGCCTGTGTCTAGTGTGCCGGCGGAGGTGCCACGGCAGATATTTCGGAGTCCAAACTGCGCGAGATCTTGCAAGAAGAAACTGCAGCCTAGCGAGTTCCACATGATCGGCAAAAAGGGTCAAGCGACCTCTCCAAGTCCTTGAGTTCGGTTCGCTTGAGACGTTGCCTCAACAAACTAGTCTGTGCCGCAAGACAGAACTGGACGCCGGGGGCGGCACAGATCGTGGAGGATTCGCTTCCTCTCCCTCTGCTCTTTCTCCAACTCCTCCTCAGAGCCGTGGCAGAGCACAGCGCCCGCCCGCGACCGCGGGCCCTGGCCTCGAGCTTCTGGTTCGCTGACCGCAAACCTCCAGCCATGTCCTCAGCGGCTGCGCCCTCTCACGCCATGCTCCAAGCCAGCACCGCCCGCTCCTGCTGATTGGACAACTCCGTTTTAGAGGACTGTGTCGTGCCATCAGATGCACTCAGCCTGGCTCAAGGCTTGCGATCTCCCTTCAGAGAAAGAGGCTAGGTGATCCAGAAGCCCAGGGCGCCTCTCCCGGAGATCTTCGCTCCGAGCCTTCTCAGCCACGAGAGCCTTCTGCTTCGGGGGCATGCTAACACACCACAGCAGAGTACGGCAACGTCAATTGCGGCCTGCTCCAGGTTTGTCTTCTCAAGTTCGGCAGCCTGCGATTCTCGGAACCACAAAATATCACCAACATCTTACCCTGTAGCTCGGATGTTTTCTTGCTTACATTGGGTCGAAGGCTGCATGAGGTTTGTCTACTGAGTCCTGCCTTGATCTTGGCCCTCAACTCGGAAACTTCATCCAGTACCTGTCCGCTCGTGGAAGGTTCACTCTCAATATTCTGCTCACCTGTTTGAGAGGTACATCAAAACATACCTCCCTTTCCTCTTGAGCGGAGGTAGTACTGCCGAACTCGGGAACCGTCTCTTCGCTTTTGGCATTCCGATGTCCTGTTCCTTTGATCTGAATATGCCTCTGCTCAGCTCATGCCAAACACACCGAGATCGGCTTCCTTCAGCAATCGATCCCATCAAGCGCTACTCTTCTTCATGGGGTCGTGCCTGGCCTTGTTCAGGCGCCAGCTTTGCCGCAAAAGGTCCAGCTTCCCAAGCAACGTGGGAGCCGGCAGCGTCCAGATCTCGCAGGTGCACATACTACTCCATTATTTCCTGTCGTTAAGACTATCATTGTACAGTGGAGTGTCGCTACTGCCCCCGACTGCTGCTACTGCTACTCCTGCTACTACTGATTACTACTGTGATAACGGCGACCTGACTTGCAGGTACTGTACAACGAGCCAGTCTTGGCTCTTACGTCCCGTATCAGCAAGCACCAATACCCCGATGAGAAATCCACTGTCAGTGATCACACCACTTTGTAGCGGAACTGGGTTTGGGACGCGAGGGCTTGACTGAGCATATCTCTGTTGCCCTTCAGGCTTTCCACGCAACTACTAATTACTGCCACTGCTGCTGCTGCTGCCGCTGCCAGGCCGACTGCGTTGAGCCAGAGTGCCGGTAGCTACACCGTTCACGGTTGCTACTGCACGCACAACACCAGAGCCCTCTGAGAGATGCGTGACATAAACGCAAGCCCAAGCGGCAGTAAAACTCAGGGTTGCAAGCACCTTGCGATGTGATAGGCCATACACAGCGACAGAGAACCAGGAAGCCTTTAAGCAAACGGCCATGCAAAGTGCCAGAGGGCTTCTGGCATTTGCAGGAGGCGGCCTTGGAGAACAGAGATGCCGCAATGTCTGGTGACTTCTGCTGGCTCTGATAGCCCTTTGTTTGCACTGTAGATGCGCTACATTGCCATCATTCAATTATCTATTACCAGCAAGGGGATGTCTTCACTGGTGGAAGGCCGTCCTTAAGGCGGGCCATGCCATGCCTTCCCGCGCCCCCTTGGCTGCCAGACCAACAACGGCTCGAAGAGCTGGGTGTCTTGCCCTGCTCAAGAGAGCCATTGGAGCATACTCGGAGCCTACAGACTGCCTGCTCTGCCACATGGAACTTCCACCCTTGCCTTTGAGGAATATTTCTCTGCTGGGGGTCCGGTGCCGGGCTCCTTCAGATCGCATGCCGTGGAAGAAAGGGACGATGGCACCGCAAGTCTGGTGGAGTCATATCTGCTTCTAGGGCTTGCAGAAGCAAACACTAAGGCAGAAAGGGGGATGTGAGGTACCTCCAAAGATCCAGCCTCCTGGCTCAGTAGCGCTTCTGTCTCTTCGTTCTCGCCCTCTCCGGGGTGGCCCCGCAGCCTCCCAGCCAAAAAGACGACGCAGGCTCAACGGAGTTTCGCCACCAGGCTGAGGCGACAGCTCCTCTGGCCGTCGTCGGAACATGTCGTGGCATTGGCTCGAAGTCTATTCCCTGTATTTCCCTGTGAAACAGCTTTACGTCAACCTTGCATGCAAGACTTGGTTGTGGTGGTGTTGAGGCTTCGCCCCCCTCTCACTCCCATCCACAAAGCATGCCATGATCTGTCCGGTTGCTCTCCAGATTAAGGCTTGGCTGCTCATGTCAGCTAGGTTGCTTCCGTCGAGGTGTGAGGTGGATGCCAAGGGCTAGTGGCTAGCGGCTGCTGCTACCGTAGGATGTGGTGGACGATGTTTGCGCACTTCAGTCTACCAAGAGTCCATGGCTCAAGGTTTCGAGCACCGATTTGCAAAATCATGCAGCTGTTGCAATCCAAGACCTCTTGCTGATTGACAGTGCTGCTTTCTCCAAGCCGGCAGAAGACGTCCGGAGCCGAGACGACGGTGGCAGAGGTCCTGCATGACGGGTGCTGACAACTCCGGCTCGCTTTCGAACCAGCATGTGCTAGCAAGTTCCTCTTTGAATACCCGCCAACGGCCCATGCTCAAGGTAGCCAGGCAACGATGCATGTATTTTGCAGGGGAAGTGAAGTTCTGATGGTGATGCAACAACATGAAATTGATGCAACCGTTCGCGCCATGCTCCGCGAGTCCTTTTTCAAGACCTGAGATGCTCACGATGACGAGCTTTTCCGCCTGTGGCAATCTGAAAACTCAAAGGGTTTAACTTGAGACATCCCAAGAACAGCAAAGTTCATGGGACTGCATGAGAAGATAACACAACACTGTAGCCACGCTCTATGCAGGGGACCCGTGTGTTTGGCCGTTGGTCGTGGCCTGTCTTCTTGCACACGCGAGGCTTTGTCACTCCGCCACTACGCAGCTATCCCGAAAAGAAATCCTGAACAACTGTCACAAGTACATGCTACAACGCACAGCCCTGACATGCATTGAGCTACAGCTACAGGCTGGCCCGCATTGCCCTGCTTGGTCGCTAGGCGCTGGAGTCTCTGCAAGAGTCTGAGGCTCGGTCCTTTTTCTCCGGTCCTCCAAGGACAGATAGGGTGGGCTCAAACGTCAGGTTCGGGGCATTTCAGGGCCTACAAGGGTCCACGCCACCTCCCAAATGGGACAATGCTCCTGCCTTGTCTTTTCTCTTTGCGCCAGAGCTGTCGTCAGACTTGCTTTTTTTCTGCCTGCTGTTTGCGTCTGTCTGTGCACACAAGTTGCGCAGCGCCGCATTCGCGGCCTTTTCTCTTTCTCCTTCTCTTTCTCTTTGGCGCGTGCTTTCTCCTGGCAGTCGAAGAGCCGGCACCAAGTAGCCTTGCGGTTGAACTTACCACGAAACAGGGGTGACATCGCTCCTTTCTCCTGGCTCGTGAGGCCGAACTGGAGCTGCTGGTCCTTCTCCTGCAGATTTGCAAGAGGCCCGGCCACAAAGACGATCCGTGTTGTCTGCAGTCAGAGCAGCCTCTTCTCCTTACCCTCGCCCTTGCTGCGCTCCTGAGCTCAGGATTCACCAGAATTTTAGTCTGTCCGTTGGCCTGCTGGGCGTCAGCAAAGGAAGACGAAGGCAGAGAGTCCTTCTCCTTCTGCTTCTTCTTGTCCTACTAGCGATGTGTCGACAGGGAAGAGACAGCTGGGGACAGGCAAACCTGTTGCTCTTGTCGACCGTCCTTTGACCTGGATCTTTCTTTTCGTTTCCTAGATCGTGATCCTTCTTTTTTCTTCTTGTCCTTCGATCTTGATCTCGATCTCGACTTCTCTCTCCGCCTGTCTATTCACGCCGAAAACGCTCAGTAGACAAGAGGACAGCCGCCTCGATCTTGATCGCGACTTGTCTTTGGCTTTGCTGGTGTCCTTCTGTTTCTCCTGATGTTCTGATGGAAGACTGCTTGTACTAGGAAGTCGGCAGGGCCGATTGGTGACCACATGAGCCTGAACCGTGCCAACTCACAGCAGACACTGTCGAACCTAGAAGAGTACTGCTGACTCATCTTTGTATTCCATTGTAAATAACCAGTTAAACTGCCACCCCTTCTGCTATAACCAGCAGTAACAATAGCAGCGACAACCTCAACACCGTGTGCCACATGCAGCTCATTGCTGCTCCTGGTGTCTGATGCAACTCCTTGCTCGCCCGCAGTTGCAGCAGCAGGAGCAGAAGATTTAGAACCTTCCGAGCACGGCAGGTCCTGACGTTTTGCTTCTTGCACATAAAAAACCAAACACCGTGGAATTCTGCCATCAGCACCATGGTTCTAATCCAAGTCACGACAGTGGCAAGCACAGAAAGTGCCCCTCATACACTCAAACTAATCGCCATCATGCCAACAAGATCCAACAAGGCATGTTTCAAGAAATAAAGTAGGTCTTGAATCGGGGCCAAAGCCTGTTTTGTTGGACATTGATGCAGGCCAACCTTGAGCGAGTCTGATGGTGTTCGAATTTCTTGAGAACGGCCAGGCAGCATTCTGGCGACTTGTCCCTCTTCGCTCACAGCTCACAGGGCCAAGGAGTTTGGGTGGATAGGGTCGACGAGCATCTACTGCGCGCCAGGCTTGCACAAAAAGGACAACAAGGACTAAGCCCTTGACCTTGGCGTTCTTGTCTTTCTCCTTGTCTGCGTCCTTGTTGGACTCGTTTACCTTCCCGTTGTCTTTGTCTTTCTTCTCCTTGCGTTGCTCTGCCTCCTTGGCCTTGCCATTATCCTTCTCCTTCACTTTGGAGTCTGTTTTGCTTACTTTCTTGTCTTTTGTCTTCTCTTTGTCTTTTTCAGACTCCTTCTTTGACTGAATCTCCTTATCTTTCAGCTTGTCTTTGCTCTTCTCACCATCTGCCTTCTTAACATCCTTGTCCTTGTCCTTTTGCTTGACTTTGTCCTGCTTATCGACAACTACCTCTTGCTTTTTCACGGAGTCTGTCTCCACCTCCATTTTTGCTGTTCCGGAGTCCTGACGTTGCCAACTGCGGAAGGAGTCGAAAGCCACCTTAATCCTCACCTCTGCAAAGAACTCTCAGCCGTCCTGGGTGCCCTGTGGTGCTACTAGCTTCGGCGCCTGGCAGGCGTGCGCCTCGACTTGTGTCTGACTTTCGGGCTGTGTCCTTGACGGCAAATTGTCAAATGACAGCAGACATGCGAACAAAGGTAGTTGGGCAAAACCTCGGTCAAAGACGCTGTGCCGTTTGGGTGCAGTCGGGCATCGCTTGAATTCCCACTGCAGGAAGTTGTTCTTTTCCTGCCTCTGGCTTTTGCGAACGCGACACGTTCGGTGGACATGTGAATAAAACATGGAAGGTCTGGAAAGCAGACTTTAGAATTTGAAGCCATGTAACAGCAAAAGTTGTGCCTTTTCCGCAGCCTTCCTCTCCTTTTCCTTTGCCTTCAGGATCGCTTCCTGGGCCTGGGGGAAGTCGCCGCAAATCCCGAGGGTTTACGATTCTTGTAAAATTACTTCTCTGCATGACCTAAAACTAAATTCCTCCTCCTGCTCCTTCTACTCCTACTCCTACTCCCTCCACCACCACCACCACCACCAACACCACCACCACTACCACCACCCCCGCGCTACCATACCACAACTACCACCACCGCCACTAGCACTACCATACCACTACTACCACCAACACCATGACCACGACCAGACCACTACCACTACCACTCTCACTGCCAC